ATATAAAGCTCTTGGCACAGAATCTTATTTCATAGTTGGTACTCAATAAACGTGCACTTATTAGATCCATTTCGACATCATAGAGAAACTAGAAGGTAAATTGTTTATAAATGAGTAACAACACCCACAAAATGTTCTACAGTACCATGGTTTATGTAAGTTTTTTAAAAATTGTGTTTCTATATTTCTATTCCCAGCTTCAATCTATTGCTATTTAACATTCGACTTGAATTTTTTCCAGGTATTTCGATATTTTAATTTTAGATGCAGCACTCTTCATTCTTGCTATATCTGCTAAAATAAATTTTTGCCAAATGCTTTATAGAAATTAAAGATGATTATTGTGTGCCCACTTGCTGTTTCTCTACAAGAACATGAACACTCCTTCCTCCCCACTAATAAGTTTTTTGAATGTCATTGATGCACGTGTAAGAAAGACATGATACTGAACCTGGTCTACTGCAGACACTTTCTTGGTTGTCCAAGGATCACAGTCTTTGTACCTGGAATAAAGGGCGAGCCCACAAAACACTGAGCAGGTGAGGATTACCCAGAGTCCCAGGAGATTGATGTAGAGAGACCTAAAGGAGTGAAAACAAACCATCAAATGACAATTGTATTTCATATCTTTAAGATTAGGAAACCTGTTACATGAGCAAAAGAGACCTTCATGATTCTACTCATAAATGCACATTACCTTTTGGTTATCAAAAATGCTACTTGTTTTATTCTAGTCTCATATTCTGTTTCTGATGTTAATCAACAACGTATTTGGAAATATTTGGAATAGATGAAGTTGTCTACCATAATGGGTGTGTCCTCCTGGTCAGAATTCCATGGGCGTTGTTAGCTTTATAAGGGAACTTAATTATACTACTTCAGGTCTTCTTGTCATGAAATAAGGATTTTAATAGTCAACATAGCAGTAACTATTGCTCATTTTCCTTTTAAAACTAATGTAATTATAAGCTGCTAAAGATTGTTAGCATCTACACAGCAACTCACCAAACTTGTTTAAATGTTATTTATAAGACCACACATTAAGTATGAATGCAAACCTGTATTCCTTGGCCAGATACCTTTTCAAACAATGTTCAGCATTATAATATACTCTGTGTGCCCCAGTAGAGTATAAAGATTTACACAACGGCACGAGAGTCCGACCTGGGCATAAATCCTGGCTCTACCATTTAAGACCCTAGGAAAGTAATCAGCCTCTCTGATCTTCAGTTTTTTCATTTACACATAGAGATATCGATGCCTGCATCACAAAGTCCTACAACTAAATGAAATAGTATATACCACATAGCACAGGACTTGCATATAATAAACACTTGTTAAATGGTAGTTATTGATATTATTAGTGTGTTAATGTCATTGAATGCTATGTCTTAATAATCAGTTGAATAGTAAACAATTCTCTCACTCAGGTGGCTACATGTTTTTTACAATGGTGCTATAATGGACAGTGCTGAGCCGCCCTAGGCTGAGGAGAGGTATCATCCTCCAAGGTCATGTCTCCTTCCCAGGGGGCAGCCTGCATCCAGTGACTAGTGGATCCAGAGGTTTAAAGGCCCGTCCCTTCATCCTACCTTGGGACAGGTCTGAAGAGCCACTGTAGCTCAAGAGCTCTGTGGAGACTGCATTATAGTGCAGTGTCTCCCTCTGGCCAATCCTGCTTTCTTTTCTTCCCTTCTACAGGTAGTGATGCCCTAATAAACTCTTGCATGCTAATCTCCACCTTGGAGTCCACTTCTGGAAGAACCCGCCCTGCAATAAGTGCCAGACAAATTGCTAGCCTTTTCCCTTGAATTGACTAACATTACTGTATATTTTGTTATTATCCCATCTCCAAAGTACCAGAAAATTATGCCCAGATACTCTCATGCTCAAACACCTCCTCTCACTTACATCTGAGTTTAATACTGTTGAAATCATGCGGTTTTATTTGATTCTCGTGCCATTTAAATCGATCACTTATCAAC